TTTCGGAATGTTTTATGCAGCACTCGCCATGCTGTATGTCCAAGTTTATGATAGGGAAGCTTGTTGAAAAAATACGATACAGACTTAATGTGTTGAGCGCAAAATATAGTTGGCAAAATATTTAGTGGTTTAATGCCTTTTTCAATACGAAACGTCTTAAGCGAATTTGCACCTAAAAAGTGGTCTTCGTGCTTCGCTTAGTAGGTATCAGCGTCAAGTTTGATTCTCTCTGTGAGCAACAAAAGTTCCTATCAGAAACTGAATAAATTATTAGGAAGGGATTCTAATAAATATCGTTTTTTACTATTTTAACAGGTACTGTTTTCATGTGGCTAAATAGGTCAACTTATTAGCCTAAAGAATTCGAACAAGGTTGCTCTATTTAGTTTATGACATATGGTTAAAATTTCATTACAAGTATTTTGTTTTGGGGGGACTGTGGAAATTTTTCGCCAAAAGAAGTATTTTTGGAAAGAATTGCTTTTCATGTCAAATCAAAAAGGGCCAGCTGAAAGTCACCAATTACTTATGAACTATGCTCCCTCTAAAGTAGCACGTAGGACATGGTGTGAGTGTTGTAAAAGTGTTCATGTTGACATAGTTTGACCGTCGTAGTCCAACGAGATCCACTGTGTTCTCCAGAGCATGGCGCTACGAAGACAATGCCTTGCGCATAGATTCGTTTTAAATGATAGAAGACTTGCGATGCATCTAGCGCACTCTCCACCTCTCTCTTCCTTCACCCACCTGTGCCTGGTGTCAAGACAGAGGCAAGAAGACTGAAGGCGGGATCAGGCGCATATAGCTGGCGCGGCACGTACCACCACCCCCCCCTACGTTTGGCACTTGTCATGGGAGCGTTATCCGAATAACGCCTGCTGTACCCTGATCATAGAATATAAGAAACTTTCAGGAGAATTAAAGAATTTGGAGATAAGGAATTAGATACGTAAATACACCGCGATCAATTTCAACGTTTTTATAATTGTCAGACGAATGAGGAGTTTATAGATTCCTTGCTAGCAAATGTTCACGTTCATTTGGACTGGCACAAAACAAGAAATCTGTTTGCCGCACGAATCGATGAAGAACAACAAGAAACTCATAAAATAACGTGTAAAGTACTGCCTTCACAACATACAAGTTGCATCGACTCGTACTGCTGACGAAAATGGATTCCTCACAATAGTCCTGGATGATGCCTGACTTACCACCAACGTCATCTCCATAGTAGACTAGTCATGCAAGCAACGTGGTTCTCTGTAAATTGAAGGGATGGTATACCATGAATTATCGAAGCCCTCTTAACTTTGCCTTTCTAAGCAACGCTTCATTTCCTAGGAAGATGTCAAAACCTAGCTCGATCAATGGTGGCTTCAAACGATCTAATTTTTTCTACCAAAGAATGTAATTGCTGCCAAAAAATAGAAAATCATTACAGCTGCCAACAAACATTACTCTGAACAAAAGATACTGTACAGATACTTTTAAACACACTTTGTTTTCTTTTCTAAAAAATGGCGCGAGGTAATTCCCGCGCTTAGTAAGTTTACCTGTGCTATTCAGGATAAATTGTAAGCCGTAGCCAGTCTACATAAACACCTGAAGTTCCATACACCTTTTAGTTCATATTCACTCACGAACTACCTGAAGGCCAAAACATCGTTCTGCAAGAAATACTTTAAAGTTTCTCTCTGTAGATGTGACCGCTGTTGCTGCTTTCATTTTACAACTTCTTTTAAGACTGCTCCTTTTCCTCCGCCAGAAAGCTTATAATGAGCGCATCAAGAAAGAGGGGCAGGAAGAACGCGATCGGATGGCAACCAGAAAAGCCAATTTGAAAAAAGAGTACGAAGAGCAAATTCGACGGCGTCGCGCCATTTTGCAAGATCGCAACAAGAATGAGGAGACAGTTAAACAAGCTTATGTGCTTGTTGATCAACCCCTACCAGACAATAGTCTCCAGAGAAAGGTGAATCCTCGAGATTTCATTTGAGTATCAAGTTGTTTAAAGCACTTATTTCTTTCTCGGATCAAAAGTTCTAATTCGTTTTAATGGCGTTTCTACCGCATTCCTCCCGTGCTTTACTGATTCTACAGGTTTTAACACGATATCTCCTGATCCCTTTGAGCATTCATGCCTGACACTAGTTCATCTTTACTTCTGTTTTGCACTATTTAACTCCAAGTTACGTCCTTAGTGGGATCAAGTCCACTTAAACAAACTTCTTTGTCGGTTTGTTTGTTTTTACTGTTAAGGTATTTTCACCATGATTTATATTTTTTGTGGATGAAGTAAGAGTGCGAATATGTAAGATTCCAGATAATTCCGGCAAGTCAAAACAGGTGTTAGAGTGACGTCCGCCGCCGATAAAGCATACGTTGCTCCCAATCATTCCCGTTGCAAAGCTGTCCGCGCTCTAAGTTTATAATCTTCAAGGTTGTCTCACCTGTAGGGAAAATCCAACTAAAATCAGGTCTAATTCCACTCAACTGAGACGGCTTCCAGCTACGGAACGACTGAGACCAGGTTACTTTGGTATAGGCAAGTTGGACGCATGTGACGAACTAATCGAAATTTAGTGTTTTAGGTCTACAAGAAGTAGTTAAACTGATTGTATGCTGTAAAGGGTCTTCAAACATCCCCTTTTCCCCCGTCGCTTACAGGTTCAAAAACAAAAAGAAGTTATGGGTTTTCTGGACTACGTGCGCGACTTCCAGACAGAACAGCAGAAACGGAATGCAGAGGTAGATCGCCTCATCGAGGAAGAAGCCAGGAAGGAGATGGCCAAACAGCAAGAGATCCGCAATTTACAGGCACGCGCACAAAAAATCCGCAATGAGGAAACAAAGGCTGCACTTTTGGAGCAAATACGGGCTAAAGGTAAGCTAATCTCTTTTTTGCTGTCACCTTGAATGTTCTTAAAATGTGAGTAAACCTTTCGTTCGATTGGCTGCCTTCTCTACCGCCGCCTGTGTAAGGATCAGCGGACACACCTAGTTACCCGACGGAATGAAGAAGAAGCTCATAGATCCTTGGAAGGCTAAAACAAAGCGGGTAGTTCTAGTCCCAAATATCTAGTGTGTGACCTTGTTCATGAAACTTTATGATTAAAAGTGGGACGACCAATTTTGAGAAATTAAAATGCTGCACATTTTACTTATTGGCTTAACTTTTCTCAGAAAATGTCCTTTTTGTATGCATTATAGATAATTTTCTCAGTCAAAATCTCTACACCATTGAACGGAAATGTGCATTTCTTTGTAGGCCGATAGTTTCCTGTGCTAATTGTCATTCTTAGCCAAGTTAGCGCTTTTTCTACCATGAGAAGAACATGATCTAAGCTCGGATGTCTTAGTAAAGTGGACTTGCATTACTTGAAAAGTGATCTCTTTCTCTACGCAAATCAGATGCAGGAAGGTGCAACCGAGCCGTATATTTTTTGAAAATCACAAAATTGTATGTTTACGACCTCACTCGCACTACAGGCTGTGCTCTAACGACCGCACTGAACATTACACATATTCTTAAAGGATACTCAACTATCCTTAAATGAGAACTTCACCAAAGGACTTTTTCAAAAGTTATTTTAATTGTGCTGATTTATTTACTCGGTTATTTGCATGAACAGGTTTCGTGTAATGCTAAAACTCAAGGTAACACAGTTTCAACGATTTTTGGCGTTTTCAGAATTTTCCTCTTTTCTAAAAGTTGGTATTTCTAAAAATGTAATGTTACTTTTAATAATTTTTATGCTTACCATTCGCTTAAGGTCGCTTATTATTGTTTCAAACCTTTTATCCACTCGTTCGTGTTTGTTTGCAAATGATATGCAATATTTTGTAAGTTTCGGCAACTTTTGTGAGATAGATCAGGTAGTATCCGTTCATCATTAAAAGAGAGTGGAGGGCGGTGAGCTACAGTAATGAAATTGCTTCAACCGATATTGCTACCTGTGGAATGTGTTCATAATTGTGTCTGGTCGAATCATCTGAATGCCAAATTCATATTGCTGACCCTTAATGAGGCTTTGTCAGAGTAACGATCTAGTACATCTCTAGCCTAATTTTTATTAGAATAATGTGACCGTTCTGTATGGAAGACTGTATTCTAGTGGGATTTTCAGAACTATGCTATGGACTTTTGTCGCTGCTGGTTTTCACTCGTTTTTTATCACTCATTTAAGAAAATTTGCTGACTGTCGGGACAATGAGAAAAAATATTGTCATAGCCGCCGTGAAGCTGAACGTTTGATCGTCGGCAAAAGGGATTAACACACCGTTTTGTCAGATCCTTCTGGGCAGACGTCGAGAGAAGACGGTCGTTGAGTTTGGGACCGAAAAAATGTTCCACTTGAACCAGCTCCAAACACCGCGGCGGTGCGCCAACAAACAGGGCAGATATATTTCTGCTGACAATAGGCGGTTAGCATGAGGTGGTATGGAGACGCAGATAGCTGACCGTTGCAGTAAGTGGGAGAAATAGGCAAATCGCAAATTCTGCTTACACACCCCACATAATTTATAAGGCAGTTGAATATGTATGGAGGAACCGAGAACAAAATATCGGAGTTCATTTTCAAAAACTAGATTGATATGCGCGCGCATAGCACTATGAGGGACTTTCCGTCACTCCGGGCTTTTTCTCTTAACGTCTAAAATCGGTGTCGTGAAAATTGTTTTGAAGCCTATTTAAGGGGTGTGCATAATCGTGTTTCAGTCCACCCCTTATTACAAAGATATATGGTGTCACTCCGTTGTCAGTTCCATGAGCACGCAGGCCATTTCAGAGTTCTTTTACCAGGTCATTAGCATTATATAGACATTCAGACGAATGCAGGCAAATATGCGAGTCCCAGGGTTCTGCTGCAAAGAGGATGAAAGAGTGATATCTAAAACGGTAGGTGTCCTATCCCGATCTTTAGGACTCGTAAAGGGGCCCAGCCCTAGAGACTGTGAAAGCGCAGTAACAAGTGGACAGGTTTTACTCAAACAAGTTTGAAGCACACACTGTCACCACGCCGTCAGCACGTGAGGTGGGCTTAAAAGAACCCTGTCAAGGGTACTAGCCCTTCACCAGTCCCTCGCTGTTTAACTTTAAAACCGTTCATGTGTTGCTACAGTCTGTTAATCTCGAAACGCTGGGCTCTTGTACCAGTTCTAAAGCTAAGATAAATACACTTACTGTTATAGGGATTGCATATACACCTTCGTTGCAGTCAGTTATATTTTCCCATTCCTTTTTATCACTCCCCTGTAGATTGTTTCCCCGCAGAGTGGCATTAGTCCTGTTGTTATCATGGGCAAAACAATTTCGGTAGATTTCTGTTATTTTTGCATCGCTATTGTACCTCCAGTATAAGTTCTAATTTCACCTGTACAGTCAGAAGAAGATAATAAGAATAACTATTTAAATAACGAACTATATGTTTTGAAATTAATGGTGAACTAGAAAATAGGCAGTGAAAAACTCCTACGCTGAAAATAGAGGCAGAGTTCAACGGGTCTCCATTTTCGAAAAGATTGTAGGAGAAAAAACTGCTTAGGAGAATAAGATAGAGGGTTAGAGTAGGCTAATACTACAATAGCTGTTCGGAATGGGATAATGAACTGTGTGTATGATTCGCTCGTGGTGGCCAATGCACATGACATGAAATCTCGTGGAAAAACTGTCAGCTATCGTGGGGTGCTCTGTTGTAACAGTGGTACTTTGTGGTGTCCCCGTCTAATGACGCCCTTTGGAATCCCCAAGGAAGAAAACAATAAGGGCGTAACTTTGGAATCCACCCGGACGAGAGTTTATTGTGTACAAAACCAGGAGTTGCTTTCCCGGGCTGCTGTTGCCACTGGCTAAGCTCCAGCGTGCTGCAAGTCCCGCCTCTGGGCAAAACCCGGAAAGGGGATGGACTGGCCTTGTCCTTGTCAGTCCGTGTGCAACTCACTGTCTGAGATGTGACAGTGGCTTATAAGTGATTGTCAAGCGCGTTCGCTTGTGGCATGAGTGGGCGCGTTGGGATGAGGTACCTACTGCGTGAGGCACCTAAGTGGTCCTTGAGGAGTGCGACCAGTTGGGCACGCGCAAAGCTCGCGTGCGTGTCTGTCCAGTCCGGATTTCAGGTCTTCGCGTGAGCACAGTCACCGCGAAGGCGCATGACCTTGAAGGCAGTCCGCATTGGCAAAGGAGTCTTTGTGGCCGTTGGTCGCAGGCGCGACGCCTCAGGAAGGCTGGCAAGTGGTTAGGCTACACTCCTACTACCCTCGACATCTCAGGAGCCAAAATAGAACTCTGGTGATGGTTTGTACCCAATGGAACGGGAGCAGTTTAGACCGGATACGTCCATATGACCTCCATGGTTTGTTCCTTTCGCTGTGATTCATACAGTTCTGAAGTTCCATGATAATTCCGACTGCTTTTTAAAAATCACACGGGTTCTGTCTGCTGTTTTTGTCGAGGATTGCTTTCTATCCAGGTCTTCAGCAGGAGTTGATTATTGTTGCATCTGCTGACCACATGACAACCGAAGACGACGTCACATGTGATTAGCATTAGCCTACTACAGCCTCAAAACGTTAGAGGATTCCAAACCCGTCGTAGCTAGGTTTGTATGATTCGGTTATTTATTCATTTGGGAATGGCAAGGTTCCGTTTCCTTACTACGTCATTCTTAATGTAGATTGTAACTGCAGTATTGTCTTCATTTTTGCTTCGTTCACTATCTCCTATTTCTTACATGGCTTTCATGCGTTCCATACACAATGCATCTCTTGGAATTTTCTCTTCATTCTACTCACCATTGACACTGCCATGCAGCTTATTGAATACAGAACATATCATAGCAACTTTCCATTGACCGAAGTCTTTTCTGTTATCATAGAGGCACGGCTGGCTTGCCAAGACAATCAGGCATATGACCTAGATAGGTGCTTCCTCAATAAATTGTTCGACGCGGATGATCTTCGGCAGAGGTATACAAAAGCGCTGCAAAACCAATATAGTCATAAGACACAAACTAAGGAAACAAAGTCAGCCATGAATATACCGGACTTACAGACATTTCTAGACGAGACGGAGATGCACGCGAAGTCTCAGAAATGGCGAAAGGTTGGAGCTGTTGCGACGCATGTTCTTCCTCGGTGCGATGGTCTTACGCCGCTTCAGTAATAACCCGGAGTGACTTTTAAGTCAGCCTTTTCGACTCCCGAACAATTATC